AGTTGAGGGAGCCCGCATAGAAGTAGCCTACTTGGCCTGTTGCACGCTAATCTAAAAAAGTGCCCATTTGAGGATGTTTGATTTCTGAATGTCTTAGTCACCAAGTCCACCACTAACACGCTGAGCTTCTCAGTTATTGTTTCTTCACCTCACACAGTGTCATTTTTTTATATTGTGAATTATAGCCTAATAGTTCCTCAAAGTCGGCTTATTTGAATTATCTTGCCAACAATCTCCCCCTTGATAGTCACCAAGCCTCGGTGTGAAAGAGCTAATCATAATCTGATGATCCCATATATCCAGTGGAAACGTCATAAAATACCTTTCTTTCCCTTGCACGAAAATGTCTGTGCCAGCTCACTGAAGCGGGAAACTCTGGGCCCGGAATGTTGCAAGTTCGCAAGAGACTGCTTCTGGAAGGATCCAGTTTATTTGACTTGATACAATATTGCACTTCACTAGCGATAACTTAAATCAAGACAGATTGAAAGGTAGGAAGACAGGCTGAGTAGCATGATGCATGTGATTGAAATAACCAGAATTTTCATTAGTATATTTTCTAGTGTTTTTATTTTGTCGGCTTTATGTAGGGCAGGGGTTCCCAAACCTTTTCTGCACACGACCCCAAATTGACACTAGATAATGCAGGGTGCCCTAATTATATGACCTAGTAAATGCTGTTTGATCATATTCACTCAATTTTGGGTCTGTTATGCTGTCTCAAATCAAAGTAATGACATGACAGCTTATTAAGGGCCCAGACACTAAAAGGTTGTATTTTATACTAATTTGAAGAAAATGTTTTGTAATTTGTTTGATAAGATTACAGATTTTCTCAGTGGACTCCATTTACATTTCAGGGGACCCCACATGGGGTCCCGAACCCCAAGTTTGGGAACCACTGATGTAGGGTATTTTACTTAGTTGACAATGGAAGTTATAGGCCAGCAGCTGCGTTGGCCATCTCAGAGTTCCATGCGCTCAATTAGGCTATTTAGCCGCCAATGATCACGGTTTATCAAGCAATGTGTCCATATGGCAGAGGCTGGTGCATTCGCATTAGTTTAATTTAAACTTGTATATTTTTATCATTTTAATTAAGATTTTTATGATTTAACCACGTGACAATGATTTTGAGAAACGGAAACGTTATTATTGAAATGAAACTGTTCCACGAAAATGTATATATGAAAATCATAACTGACATGCAGATCGGTAGAAATGGTAGGATAATTTGTATGCTTCCCCAAACTTGAAACTCAAGTGCTGCCTATGAATTATTTATAAAATAATTGCCTCTACCTTTCTATGGTCGGATTTTCAAGCAAGATAAGACATGCCTCATAATATGAAGTAAAACATTCAGGGTTTAAACAATTAAGGATGTTTTCCAAAGGCATGCTTCCTACAGCTCACATTGTAAAGTGGTGGGTGACGCGCTGATAGCCTGTCTACCGTTGTTTTTTCTCCTGGTTAATTTGGCCATTTTTTCTCCTGGTCAGTTTGGCCAGCAACAATTTTGTTTATCGCCTTTTCTTTGCCAAAAGCCAGCAATTACCGGCTAATGGAAACCCTGGTGTGTGTGAATAGTATGTTTTACTTTCAATTTAACATTGTTGTGTATAACTTGCTTACCAACCACACTAACCTCTACTTGATCTGTAAAGCTGATGTGATTTCAACAGTGTTTTATCCCCATGTGTCCAGGCCTGTGTTAGAGAAGAGGTAGAGTAGAGAGCAGAGCTGTGTGATTGATGCTAGTTCTATTTTCTCCATCACGCTCTGGGTTGAGAGACTCACTGCAGGGACTCAAACAGTCACACTGGGATCCGACAACAATGGGAAACAGGAGAGAGTAGGACAGCCATCTCACCCAGACAGATAACTGCATACACTACAGCCCACTGGTGCTGCTCACATCTAAACCAGAATGATTTGCTATTTGTATTATTTAACTGTATTTTGGTTATGTACAGTGAGGGGATAAAGTATTTGATCCCCTGCTGATTTTGTACGTTTGCCCACTGACAAAGACATGATCAGCCTATAATTTTAATGGTAGGTTTATTTGAACAGTGAGAGACAGAATAACAACAAGAAAATCCAGAAAAACACATGTCAAAAATGTTATAAATTTATTTGCATTTTAATGAGGGAAATAAGTATTTGACCCCTCTGCAAAACATGACTTAGTACTTGGTTGCAAAACCCTTGTTGGCAATCACAAAGGTCAGACGTTTCTTGTAGTTGGCCACCAGGTTTGCACACATCTCAGGAGGAATTTTGTCCCACTCCTCTTTGCAGATCTTCTCCAAGTCATTAAGGTTTCGAGGCTGACGTTTGGCAACTCGAACCTTCAGCTCCCTCCACAGATTTTCTATGGAATTAAGGTCTGGAGACTGGCTAGGCCACTCCAGGACCTTAATGTGCTTCTTCTTGAGCCACTCCTTTGTTGCCTTGGCCGTGTGTTTTGGGTCATTGTCATGCTGGAATACCCATCCACAACCCATTTTCAATGCCCTGGCTGAGGGAAGGAGGTTCTCACCCAAGAGTTGATGGTACATGGCCCCGTCCATCGTCCCTTTGATGCGGTGAAGTTGTCCTTTCCCCTTAGCAGAAAAACACCCCCAAAGCATAATGTTTCCACCTCCATGTTTGACGGTGGGGATGGTGCTCTTGGGGTCATAGGCAGCATTCCTCCTCCTCCAAACACGGCGAGTTGAGTTGATGCCAAAGAGCTCGATTTTGGTCTCATCTGACCACAACACTTTCACCCAGTTCTCCTCTGAATCATTCAGATGTTCATTGGCAAACTTCAGACGGGCCTGTATATGTGCTTTCTTGAGCAGGGGGACCTTGCGGGCGCTGTAGGATTTCAGTTCTTCACGGCGTAGTGTTTTACCAATTGTTTTCTTGGTGACTATGGTCTCAGCTGCCTTGAGATCATTGACAAGATCCTCCCGTGTAGTTCTAGGCTGATTCCTTATTTTGTTGATTTTCTGAGCTGTAGCTCAGCTGGTAGAGCGCTTGTAACGCCAAGGTAGTGGGTTCGATCCCCGGGACCACCCATACACAAAAAGAATGTATGCACGCATGACTGTAAGTCGCTTTGGATAAAAGCGTCTGCTAAATGGCATATTATGTTATTATGTTATTCCTCACCATTCTCATGATCATTGCAACTCCACGAGGTGAGATCTTGCATGGAGCCCCAGGCCGAGGGAGATTTGACAGTTATTTTGTGTTTCTTCCATTTGCGAATAATCATACCAACTGTTGTCACCTTCTCACCAAGCTGCTTGGCGATGGTCTTGTAGCCCATTCCAGCCTTGTGTAGGTCTACAATCTTGTCCCTGAAATCCTTGGAGAGCTCTTTGGTCTTGGCCATGGTGGAGAGTTTGGAATCTGATTGATTGATTGCTTCTGTGGACAGGTGTCTTTTATACAGGTAACAAACTGAGATTAGGAGCACTCCCTTTTAAGAGTGTGCTTCTAATCTCAGCTCGTTACCTGTATAAAAGACACCTGGGAGCCAGAAATATTTCTGATTGAGAGGGGGTCAAATACTTATTTCCCTCATTAAAATGCAAATCAATTTATAACATTTTTGACATGCGTTTTTCTGGATTTCTGGATTACCATTAAAATTATAGACTGATCATTTCTTTGTCAGTGGGCAAATGTACAAAATCAGCAGGGGATCAAATACTTTTTTCCCTCACTGTAGAAGGATGTGATAGAAAAAGTGGATTTTCCTCAGCCCTCAGCAGTTTGAAACTAACAGTTTATCCAAGTTGTCTACTGTGAGCGACATGTGTTTGGTTATTTGACGTTAGCCTCCCGAACTTTGTCACATCAATCATCCATGACCTTCTCATCTGCTGTCCCCATGATGGCTAGTATGGCAGACCGGTCACAACATTACTGGAGCACCTCAGCCATGCTTGGATGTGTGGGAATTATTCTACCTCTCCATTAAATAGATCATGGGTTTATTTAGAAATGTCAGATGTATACTTTTGGGAGTTTATTGTCATGGCTCTCTCTCACTATTATTTACACAGTAACATTAGTAACACTTTGTTGCTCTGAGACTTTTAAGCATCAAGCATGGCTTTATATTATTGGCCATAAAGAAATCTCTCAATCAACCCACAATATTGATGTAATGATCCTTTACTTTTGTGCATCGACAGTCTCTCCTTCCCTCCTTCCTCCCCAACTCCTCTCAAAGCTGGGCTTTAATTTTAATAAACGATGAAACTGCAGTTGTCATAGAAACAGAGACCTGTGGTGAGTGTGAGATATCCAGTCCATCCCCTCAGTTTAGCGATGTATCATCCAGACTGAGGTTAGAGGGGGCAGTTTGTGTGTGCGCGTGTGTTGGCCCTCACTGCCGTAAGGGAGAGTGAGTAGATTTAGTTTCACTGAGTCCGGAGGCTTAAGCTAGGAAGGTCTATAATCCCTAATACTTTGTCAGGAGGGTTCCAGCCAGGCTTTGCTCAGGATTCCCATTTTATATTTGCCGGATGGAGGGAGCAGAGCAGGATGCTCAGAAGCATTCTGGAAGCACCGAAACTAACCCAATTTCCTGCTCCATTTCCCCCTAGCGTCCTATTCCATGGAGGGCAGAGTTTACGACACACACACACTGTGGGGGGGGGGGGGGGATTGTGCACACGACAGCAGAGTGACAACACACACACACCGGAACACTGAATCAGTGTGAAACGCTACACGTCAAAATACCATCTCAAGTCATTTTAATAACCACAACATTAAATGCTGTTGACATTTTTTGGGGTGAGAGGGAGGGAGCTGATGCCAGTGTCTGGTCGCTCTGTGATGTCCCAAACCATATAGTCATAGAGCCATATAGACTGTCATCCTGACCTCATTGACGCCATCAGGTCATTTTCTTTGACCTCCCTTTTTAAAGAGATCAGCAGGTGGCAGGGTACATGGTGTTTGGTGGAAGAGAGCAGAGAGCACTGTGGGCAATGCTTTTCCGTAGGCCGCCCTGGTTCCTCTTCAGTCATCACAGCAGGAGATGGAGGAAAGATGAAAGGAGGAATGGAGGGGGAGAGGAGAGGAATGGAGGGGGAGAGGAGAGGTAGGGAGGGAGGGGAGGACAGGACGGGGAAGGGGAGGACAGAAGGACTGAAGAGAAGATGATGGAATAAGATGAGAGGAGAGGAAAGGTGTAGGTTCCTGTCGAGTTGAGAGGAGAGAAGGTTTACAACAAACAGCATCTAAAGCAGAAAAGTATTTCCTCTTCCCTCTTCTTTGGTCTTTCATTCCTTTTTTCGTGCCTCAACACTTACCTCTCCCCAGCAGGGAGGAGCAGGACCAGGAAGCTATGACTCCTGGCTTTATAACAAGTCAGGCTTTTATAGGACAGGAAGTCCAGTCTGGCCTTCACCTACTGTACAGCACCACTACAGGCTTCTATCTCTGATTTATGTCATCAGGGAGGGTTGCTGTGGTGGTGTTTTATCCTCTCTCTCTCTCTCTCTCTCTCGCGCGCGCTTTCATTTCTCTCACTCTTTATCTCGCTGTCATACCCCCTCTCTCTCTTTCTTGTCCCCAGTCAGATCTACTGCATAGAGAATGCTCACGGGCAGCTGGTTCGAGACCTGGACTTCAATCCTAACAAACAGTACTACCTGGCCAGCTGTGGGGATGACTGTAAGGTCAAATTCTGGGATGTGAGAAACATCAACGAGCCAGTCAAGAACCTGGAGGAGCACTCCCACTGGTGGGCACCTGTCCTGCACTGTAGACACACACACACACATATACACACACAGGACATGCATGCATACACACACACACACAGTCACACACAGGACACAAGCACACACACAGCAGATATATCCCCATTCTTCCCATCTTTGTGGCATACAGTGCATTCGGAAAGTATTCAGAACCCTTTACTTTTTCCACAATATGTTACAGCCTTATTCTAAAATGGTTTAAATTGTTTTTTTCACCTCATCAATTTACACACAATACCGTATAAAAACCGGAAATATCACATTTACATAAGTATTCAGATCCTTTACTCAGTACTTTGTTGAAGCACCTTTGGCAGCGATTACAGCCTCAAGTCTTCTTGGGTATGACGCTACAAGCTTGGCACACCTGTATTTGGGGAGTTTCTCCCATTCTTCTCTGCAGATCCTCTCAAGCTCTGTCAGGTTGGATGGGGAGCGTCGCTGCACAGCTATTTTCAGGTCTCTCCAGAGATGTTCGATCGGGTTGAAGTCCGTGCTCTGGCTGGGCCACTCAAGGACATTCAGAGACTTGACCCGAAGCCACTCCTGTGTTGTGTTGGCTGTGTGCTTAGGGTTGTTGTCCTGTTGAAAGGTGAGTCTTCGCCCCAATCTGAGGTCCTGAGGGCTCTGGAGCAGGTTTTCATTAAGGATCACTCTGTACTTTGCTCCGTTCATCTTTCCCTCGATCCTGACTAGTCTCCCAGTCCCTGCTGCTGAAAAACACACAGCATGATGCTGCTACCACCATGCTTCACCATGATGCTTGGCGTTCATCAGACCAGAGCATCTTGTTTTTCATGGTCTGAGAGTCCTTTAGGTGCCTTTTGGCAAACTCCAAGCGGGCTGTCATGTGCCTTTTACTGAGGAGTGGCTTCCATCTGGCCACTCTACCATAAAGGCCTGATTGGTGGAGTGCTGCAGAGATGGTTGTCCTTCTGGAAGGTTCTCCCATCTCCACAGAGGAACTAGGGAGCTCTGTCAGAGTGACAGCAGAGAAACAAAGCCCATATCCATCTCAATTACAACATACACAAGTACTGAAGAGCCAGAGGGCAGGTTGCCATTTATTGTCATGACTTTTGCCCTAGAAGCATCTCTGCAGAGTGGTCATTAGCTGGCACAGCCACAAAGTCATAAAATCTGATTTCCAACCTAACCTTAACCACACTGCTACCCCTACCCTTAACCAAAAAGCAAATGTTTGTTTTCATACATTTTTACGTAATAGCCAATTTTGACTTTGCAGTTGGCCCATCTAGCATAAATGGCTCAGTTCTGCCTCCAGGACAATAATAATAATAATAATAATAATTGGTCATTTAGCAGACGCTCTTATCCAGAGCGACTTACAGGAGCAATTAGGGTTAAGTGCCTTGCTCAAGGGCACATCGACAGATTTTTCACCTAGTCGGCTCGGGGATTAGAACCAGCGACCTTTCGGTTACTGGCACAACGCTCTTAACCACTAAGCTACCTGCCGCCCTCATGACAATAAACGTCACCCTGCACAAAAGGCTAAGAGAGATGTATAGATACTAAAATAGGATGGATTAAAAACACCCATTCACTGATTCTTTGTGTGTGCCCAGGGTGTGGAGCGTGCGTTACAACCACTCTCATGACCAGCTGGTGCTGACCGGCAGCAGTGACAGCAGGGTGATTCTGTCCAACATGGTGTCCATCTCCTCTGAGCCCTTCGGTCACCTGGTGGACGACGATGACCTCAGCGACGGAGAGGACAACCACCAGGACGAGAAGTATGGACACTAAGTCAAAACTGTTAACACTGTCCACTTTCTGACACATCTGTCCACTCATTCACAACTGTCAACACTGTCCACTTTCTGACACATCTGTCCACTCATTCACAACTGTCAACACTGTCCACTTTCTGACACATCTGTCCACTCATTCACAACTGTCAACACTGTCCACTTTCTGACATATCTGTCCACTCATTCACAACTGTCAACACTGTCCACTTTCTGACACATCTGTGCAGAACTGTCCCCCCTTATAGCCATGCTGGACCAGTCTCAGCCATAACTGTCCACTGTCATTACTGTATCGATCATCTCATGTTCAGTGCAATAGTTGTCCAGATATAAGCAATCATATTTTTGATACATTTGATCTAGATTCAGCTCTGTACTCTTGTCTTCATGAACTTCTGCTATTCTTTGCCATGCCCTATTTTGTGTAAAGGAAGCCAGGGTCAGCTGTGTGGAGAAGTACTGTACCTGGTGTAATCACAACCAGACCTTGAACAGAAACACAGAGACTGAGTAATATAACTAGACCTTTGTTTGTGTGTGGTAGGTAGCCTTGTTCTTAACTCTCCATAATCAACTCGCCTCACCCCTGTGTGTGTGTTTGTGTTCTAGGAGTAAGGAGCCCCTGCAGGACAGTATCATCTCTACCTATGAGGAGCATGAGGACAGTGTGTACGCGGTGGAGTGGTCCTCGGCAGACCCATGGCTCTTTGCCTCACTCAGCTACGACGGCAGACTGGTCATCAACAGGGTCCCCCGCGCACTCAAATACCATATCCTGCTCTAGGCAGACCTCACACTGGACTGAGGAGAGAGGGGGAGCCAACCGTGTCCAAGGGCCGTCAGGATAGCCACACTCACCAGACCCTGCACACACACTCTCGCTCTCGCTCTATCGCTCTCTTTCTCACCCTCTCCCTTTCTATAAAATAACTGATAACGCTAAACAATCCATTCCCCTTTAATGACGCAGATGACTATGTACAGTGCCTTCGGAAAGTATTCAGATCCCTTGACTTTTTCCACATTTTGTTAGGTTACAGCCTTATTCTCAAATTTATTAAATCGTTTTTTCCCCAAGCTACACACAATACCCCATAATGACAAAGCAAAAACAGATTACAGTCTTCTTGGGTATGATGCTACAAGCTTGGCAAACCTGTATTTGGGGAGTTTCTCCCATTCTTCTCTGCAGATCCTCTCAAGCTCTGTCAGGTTGCATGGGGACCGTTGCTGCACAGCTATTTTCAGGTCTCTTCAGAGATGTTCGATCGGGTTGAAGTCCGGGCTCTGGCTGGGCCACTCAAGGACATTCAGAGACTTGTCCCGAAGCCACTCCTGCGTTGTCTTGGCTGTGTGCTTAGGGTCGTTGTCCTGTTGGTAGGTAAATCTTCGCCCCAGTCTGAGATCCTGAGCGCTCTGGAGCAGGTTTTCATCAAGGATCCCTCCTTTCATCTTAGCCTCGATCCTGACTCCCAGTCTCTGCCGCTGAAAAACATCCCCACAGAATGATGCTACCACCACCATGCTTCACTGTAGGGATGGTACCAGGTTTCCTCCAGATGTGACGCTTGGCATTCAGGCCAAAGAGTTCAATCTTGGTTTCATCAGACCAGATAATCTTGTTTCTCATAGTCAGAGTCTTTAGGTGCCTTTTGACAAACTCCAAGCGGGCTGTCATGTGCCTTTTATTGAGGAGTGGCTTCCATCTGGCCACTCTACCATAAAGGCCTGATTGGTGGAGTGCTGCAGAGATGGTTGTCCTTCTGGAAGGTTCTCCCATCTCCACAGAGGAACTCTAGAGCTCTGTCAGAGTGACCATCGGGTTCTTGGTCACCTCCCTGACCAAGGCCCTTTTTGGTACCCTTCCCCAGATCTGTGCCTAGACACAATCCTGTTTCGGAGCTCTACGGACAATTCCTTCGACCTCATGGCTTGATTTTTGCTCTGACATGCACTGTCAACTGCGGCACCTTTATATAGACAGGTGTGTGCCTTTCCAAATAATGTCCAATCAATTGATTTTACCACAGGTGGACTCCAATCAAGTTGTAGAAACATCTCAAGGATGATCAATGGAAACAGGATGCACCTGAGCTCAATTTCGAGTCTCATAGCAAAGGGTCTGAATACTTATGTAAATAAGGTATTTCTGTTTTTTTATTTTTAATACATTTGCAGACATTTTTAAAAAATCTACATTTTTAAAAAATCTAGTTTTTGCTTTGTTATTATTGAGTATTGTGTGTAGATTGCTGACTTTTTTATTTATTTAATCCATTTTAGAATAAGGCTGGAAAAATGTGGAAAAAGTAAAGTGGTCTGAATACTTTTCGAAGGCACTGTATGCTCGGACAGAAAAGACAGAAAAACTGCTACATATCTGTTCTGTATATTGTCAATTAAATACTATGTATGTAAACTGGATTGTGTTTATTATTATTGGTGAACAGTTACTTTACTAAGCTTATATAAGGGGATCTTCTGAAGGCTCTTTCTCTTATTTGACTGTGAGCCCATAGGTAGTCTTGTCAGAGATAGATGCCTGTGGGGGTTCCCTGCATGCCTCGATGGCAGCTTCACCCTGGGGAATGACTGGAGGACAACACATGGCATCATGGTTCCTAGATGACAGTTTGAAGCCAAGGGGTAGCTAGGAAAATCACCACTCTCCCCAAACCCTCTCCCAATCTTTCCTTCTCTTCCTCTACCTCCCTGCCCTTTCTCCTCTTCCTCCTATCTCATCTCCACCCTTCCCCTCCGAGCCCATCTCCTCTCTTTTCCTCCTTCCATTCCCTCCCTCTCCCCATCCCTGTCTTCCTGTACAGCGTGTGTTGATGCTGGTCGATAGTGACAGTGCTAGCGTTCGTTAGACCCAGACACCACTGACAGCCCTTTTAATTGCAGCTTGACTCTGCTCAGTGCTCAGTCGCTGAGCAGAGCTCCACGGTGCCAGGGGTGGCTCTGAGTCTTCATTAACCATGCCCAGGAGGGTGCCCAGGACTGGTCTTGAATGTAGAGTAACACCCTTCCCTTCCTCTGGAAGGCAGCTCACATCCACACCCCTCATTATATCCCAGTCAATTATGGAAAAGGAGATTGGGGTGAAAACATAATCTTTAGAAGCTGAAAACATAATCTTCCTCAAACCCATCCTTCTATCTAAACCGTCTTTAACTTGGGATTGTGATGCTTGTCGGTTGAAAACACAAATGCACACACACTGTGCCCCAGCGGCACACACCGTGCCCCAGCGACACACACATCCCTCTCCTGTGTCCTCTGTCCACTAAGATGCTGCTGGTGTGACAAGCTTGTAGACATGGCACTTAGCGTGTTCTTTGTATTCCGTCAGAACTCGTGTGTGTGTGCATGTGTGTGGGGGGGGTGGGTATGGCCTCTTTGAATGCTGGTGACTGAGGAAGCTTGCATGCCCAAGACTAAAAGACAAAAATATAGAGGGGTAAAATATGGATGGCCAGAGGGGTAGATAGGCATCAATAGATGGATGACATAAATATTCCAAAAATTCAACTATCTCCATCCCAGGTGCAGATCTTTTCATCTTGTGACAAACATCTGAATATGCGCCTCCTGAGTCCTGACGGACACCACCTGATCAGTATACCTCAACGGCCTTGCTGTTAATACATTCACAGTATAGAGTAAACGAACAATGCTCCATTGAAATTCAATATACAGTCTCCACCTCTGGAGAGAGAGGAGGACTGCTGATAATGCAGATGACTGAAACACTGTGCTGCTGTGCTGTGTACCACTGTTTTAGTATCCACAGGCTACACCACATTACTTCCCAGCCCCGGCCCCAGTCCATCTCTTCTGTTAAAACAACGTGATCCCAGTGTGAATCAGGAGTGGTGAGGTGTTTTTTGCTGTGACTGCTTTAAATATCTGAGGAAACAGCCGATGGAAAGGTGACGCATGCAGTAGCATCGAGCTCCCAGAGTTCAACTGTTCTGCCCGGCGCAACTGCCAAGTATCGTCTGTGTCACACAGTCACGTTGTAACGGTTTTGACTTGAGGCATTTATAGGGGTGCCAGGTAGGTTGTGCCTACCAGAGAAAGCATAGGTTTCTCCTTTTAGTTCGGGAGGGAATGAGTCCCATCTGGTCCGTCAAGTCACACCAATACAAAGGACTTATGTAAAAGTCAAGATGGAAATATACTTTTCATAAACCCCTAAAAACCTTGGAAAGAACTTCAAACAAGTGTATTCTTTTGCTTGGTTGTATTCACAACATAAATGATCACACCCACCCACACACAACAATATAACAAATCAATGCACTTATGTTCATTTAGAAATGTCCTGTACCTCGGGCATAAAAAGAGTCCAGCCCGGTAAATAAGTTCCGTGGCTCAAGTGCCCTTAGTCCCGCAACGCTTGTCCGTAGCATAAACCCAGTATATTCATACCCTCAAAATAACACTTATTTTGTAACACAACTATAAAGCGTATCAAAGACTACCCAAAGAATAATACGTCCTCACAACTACATAAATCACAGTATACATCACCCCCAAACAAAGGAAATACCGTATACAAAAAGTTGTAGTCAGTCGGTCAGTCAGACAATCCGTCAACAGCCCTCCAGCGGAGGAAAGGCCACGAAAACCAACGGAGAGTTGTAATCCACAGACGCACAGAGTGGATCCAATCCTGGGTAAGCTCGCTTTAAGGCCACAAAACACACTGTAAGGCCACAAAACAAACGTAATGGCCAAGCTTCATGAACTGAAGGTAGTACACATCCTCATTCAGGTCTCAATCACCACTTTTCTTTTGCGCAGCTGATGCTGGCTATTTAATGGGGAATTAAAGGGGAAGCGCCCTATTAGAAGGAGAAGCCTTGAGACGGTTCAGAAATATTCAGGGCCGTCACACACCCCCTCCCCTGGAAAAAGCCGACCATTGCCCGGGAAGGCAGATCTTGGTCGGGGAAACCGAGAAAGGTCTCCTCATCACTTTCCTCTACAAAAATATTCATTACTTTTTGGCGCTCACGCTCCTCAGCTGAGGGGTCACAGGCATTAAGCCGTGAGACTTCTGGGTCTGGGAATCCGAGAAAAGTCTCCTTACTTTCCTCTTCAAAGATCTCCAGGACCTTGCGGCGCTCAATCTCCTCCAATTCCTCAGCCGAGGGGTAACAGGCCTTAAGGCGTGAGACATGGACAACGCGCATATCTTCACCTGTGTCCTCTTTCACCACTCGGTAGTTCAAAGGGCCCACCTGCTCCACAATCCTATATGGTCCTTGCCATTTAGGAGCGAGCTTGGCCGAGAAGAATTGTTCAGCTTTCGAGTAAGGATGAGAGCGAAGCCACACCCGATCACGAAGCTGGAACTGCAGGTCTCGTCTGTTCTTATCATAATTTTTCTTCTGCTTGAGTCGAGCCTGGATCATGTTCCTTGAGACAAGAGCTCTCAAGTCGTGGAGATGGACTACCTGGTCATAGCAAGCAGCGTCTGGAGTAAGCTGCTGGGGCTGTAGTACCATATCCAAGGGTCCTCGGAGGAGACGACTTAGGTTCAGCTCTGCAGGTGTGACTCCAGTGGACTCTTGCACAGCAGAATTCAGGGCAAATCGAAACTCGTGAAGGTGCTTGTCCCAGTGTTTGTGCTGGGTCCCTACATAGGAAGCAACCATGGTCTTCAAGGTTCGATTTACTCTCTCAGTGAGGTTGGTCTGTGGGTGATAGGCTGTGGTCAACTTCTGTCTCAGGTTCCATCTTTGGCAGGTCTCTCCAAAGAGATCAGAGACAAAT